GGGGGGGAGGGAGGGATGGAAGAGGGGAAGGAGGGAGGAGAGAGAGAGAGAATGAATGAATGAATGAATGAGAATTAGGCCTGAGATGTGTGTAGGCAAAATTCCTGGGACCGTACTTGGTTTGTTTTCCAGTTCAGGGTAAATATGGGCTATGGGCTTTCTAGTGATTGCAGCTTTAGGGATGGTGCTTTTTATTCCATCTTCACTAATTCCTGCTTCAGCTGCTGCTGTCTGAATGGATGAGTCTTTGCATATACATTCTAGCTGGAGGCATGTTGGCTTTTTTTTTTTATTTTTATTTTTTAATTTTTTTTTAAAGATTTTATTTATTTATTTGACAGAGAGATCACAAGTAGGGAGAGAGGCAGGCAGAGAGAGAGGAGGAAGCAGGCTCCCTGCCGAGCAGAGAACCCGATGCGGGGCTCGATCCCAGGACTCTGAGATCATGACCTGAGCCGAAGGCAGTGGCTTAACCCACTGAGCCACCCAGGTGCCCCTGTTGGCTTTATTTTTATATAGAATTTATATTTTCATTTTTATGTGTTGGAGATAGGAAGTAGGAAAAAGCCATTTGTCAATTCATTTCCTAAAAATGCCTTTGTGAAGGGTTGTCATTTGAACATCTAAAACAGAAACTGATTTTAGAAAAGATTATGGGTCTTTTCATCATTAATCCATAAGTACAATTATCATTAATAGACATCAGCAGTTAAAAAAAAAAGGGACAAGGGTTTTAAAATCACTTTACTGTTCATCTGATTTGTAATTCTAGTTTTCCTGTTTGTATTGCTAAAATGATTAAGAGTTAAAAATTAAAACAAAATAATTAGATAGCAGATTTCAATTTAGATATTTTTCATTTTGATGGTACTTCTAAAGTATATTTTAAAAAGGCTGTTCATTTTCAAATGAAAACCTTAAGGTTTGAGTATTCTCTGCTTTAATCTCAGTGTCTGCAACCTTTTGTAGCTTTGTGTAGTGACTGGGGATTTGTGCTATGGGCAAATATTCTAGTCCTGGGTATCTGCATTTATTGGTTTCTTTCTCCTTAGGGTTGAAGTCTCTCCTGGTGATAAATGTGGTGCTGAGAGAGTCACAGTCACTCTTCCAGAGACTAGGATAAAATTCAGTGAACTGTAAAAGTAATGCAAAATGACAATTAAAGTAGGACATTCGGGTACCTTGGGGGCCTGACAAAATGGAAGAATTGGACTTGTGATGTGCCAGACTTATTAACATAGAGACATAATAGCATACCACCTACCCAGAAGTCTTGTTGGAAACCTCACATATCCAGAAGGGAGCTCAGAATAGGAAGTAGTAGTCAAAGAAGGCTCGAAAGCAGGTAAAAAACCAAAAAACAAGAACCAAAACATTACACAAAAGTCTCTATATTAAAGATCACTTAATTTCCCTCTTAGAACAACAACATTTCAGCTCTCTGCCCAGACCTTACCTCTTATTTTCCAGACAAACAAAGTTTCTAAGAACACAGTAGAGTAGAAGGATCAAACTTGAAATGGAAGAGGAGCTGTTTTTGATATATTGATAGCACTGGGAAGTAATAATCCCGAGTGTTTGATAGCAAGGTGGTGAAGGACATATGTTAAAAATTAAAGGCAAGAACTCAAAAACCAGAGCACTTTGGGGTCAGTGAGTGTACTGGCAAAGCCTGCGTGGTACAGTGATTTATGTTCAGAAGGGCGCTCCTAAGTAACCAATAAACAAGGCAGAATGGTTAGGATTTTAAATCAAAGTTTTGGTCCTTGCAGAGGAAAGCCTTAAACTATCTAAAAAAAAAATCCCAGCTATCCAGAAGTACTTATTCTTCAGGTTTTCAGAGAATCAAGGTGTTACTAAACCTAAGCCAAGTGAGAGAAGTCTGTTCTCAATGATTTCCTAGGATAAACACTTCTAATTAAAGAAAGGATTTGGGAGAAATATATTAAATGGTGGGAAAGTGACTCTCATTTTCCATTCCGTTGAGGATGGAAATAAAAGTTTGCTCTAGACCCATTTTTTAATGTCAAAATTTGTTTTTTCAGAAGCAAATGTTGTTCTTGTCTCTTTACTGTGTTCCTGCGTTAACTTGGCTGTCTCATTAGAGATGGGGACATTTCCTAGTGAAATTAATGTGACATTTAGAGAAAATTTTCCCTCTCAAATGTTTCATGTTATTTGCCATTTAGAATACTTAGAGAGGGGATTGGAATAATGTCAAGCAAATTTTGATTAAATAAAGCTAACCAGGAGCCAATATTTTCATGCAAAAAAAGAAAAGCTCTTTTATTACTTCTTTAAAAAGTGTATTTCTGCCCTGGTGTTTTAGCCTGTATTGAGATGACCTTGACAAATAATCTGACAGAAGAGATGCTGTCCTCTAAACAGCTGGGCTTGCATTAGAAAACACAGCACACAGAAAACACACAGTCAAAGCCTGTGGTTGGTCTTTTGCTCAGGACAGTTCTCTCCTCCGGATGTAAGTGAGAAGTACCTGTGAAGCTTTAAGAAACACCAGTGCTGGGGCCCTACACCAGGCCAATTACCTCAGAATCTCCTGAAGTGGGACCTAGGCAATAGTTTTTTAAGAAAACCCCGAATTCCCTAGTTGATCCTAATGTGCATTAGGGTTGAGAACCACTAGCTTAAGACATGCAAACTATTCATTAAGAAAAGAAGTGTGGAAAAAATGTAACCTTTCAATGCACAAAAGTTGGGTTTGAGCACATACCTCGAATCAATATGAGCAAGAACAGTTGACATCAATATACACAGACCCATAATAGGCTCTCTATGGCCAATTAGCTCAGTTGTTTGGAATGTAGTATTAATGGGGTCAGAATAGTGTATGCTATCAATTAGAATAATTCTGTTTCATAGGTTGTTTCCATAACTACAATCAAGTGGCCTCACAAAGAGACCTGAGACCAATTACAAAAGTAAAAAGACAATGGATGACTCAACAGAGCCCCATCCACTATGGGAAAATTGGTTCTAGAAATCTACCTCATGACTAGTGCTTCATGTTCTGTAGAAAGCAGGGGATAAGGATTCCCACCATTTCCACCAAGAGTCATGATAAATTCAGTTGAACTTCCCATTTGGATTCATGTTCTTTTTTCCCCTATTTTATATGGGAAGAAAGTGAGGCATGCCAAAATTAGGTAATTTACCCAAGGCTGTCTAGTGGAACTAGTCATTGAACTCCTGAGTACTTAATTAGTTTCCTGTTTTAATTGGATAGCATGCTTTTTGGCAGGTGGAGACTTCCATTATTTAAATATATTAAATATATATTGTATTGACTATCATAAAAGAGCACACTTACCCAGCACAATTTTTGCCCATTATGTTGGTATAATAAATTAATTCAAGAAATGTTTGTTGGTTGACTGACTGATGGATTACCTCTTCCAGCAATGCTTCCAGCATTGTATTCCCAATGCAGCTTCAAGTTGGCCTTTTCTTCCTGTAATTGTATTTGCAAAAATTTCAGCATGCATTTTCTTATGAACGAATTAGAAATGAACTGACCCTTTTGATTTTTTACTCTCCCAATCCATTCCTTCCAACAGAACCAAAAATCACTTGTGGTTTACATTAAAGGGGATTTTTGTCCTCTAGATAAAAGCAGTGTGAGTGGATATTACAGAGCCCATCTTCAAATGAGGAGCATGTAGTGGGCATGAGCATGCCTAAGTAAGTACAAAACAATGGTGGGATTTAGTTTTCTTCATAATACTCTCTCCTCTTTTCTCCCACCTACCCACCACTGCCATCCCCACCTCCTCTAGATACTCAGGGTCCTTACCCTTACTGGTAGCTGTTTGGTGCTCATATGGTGGTTGGATTTGCTATCACCTATCCTGTTTTCTTTTCTACCAAACTCTTGAGTTCCTTGAAACCAATAGCCGCATCTAAGAGCCCCTCACAGTTAATGTCTGACAGGTAGTCACCTGAAAGCAACCTGTTCTTTAGTTAGCTAGATAGCTATTGTGTTTCCTTTTTTAGGCACTTTTAGTTGAAGTGACTTTGGGAGGGCCCCAGGGAATGGTGAGCATGGTGAGGATGTCTGGTAGGCTAGCAGGAGGATGGAGATGCATTTGGGCATTTTCCAGTATCTACAGTGGCTCAGTGAGAGTAGTACTTTAGTGTTGGGATAAGATTAATTTTACCAGGACTTGCAATTACTTCAACATCAACGTTTACCTGCATTCCCCTCTTCTAAGGCTGCCCCCTTTGGGTGCTCCTAAACGTTTTCCCGTTTCTTTCATCTGGCAGGTATTCTGCATTTGCTTTTGTAAAGCTGTTTCTCTTGCAGTCCTACTGTAACCAGATTAGGCAGTAGTGTTTTAATGATAGGAGCTGAGACAGGGTTTGCTTGCAGACTTCATGTTTCACATGAAAGGCTTTGGTACCCCCTGTGGACTGCCCTTCACCGGGTTTCAGGCATAATACTTGTTTGCCTTTATATCTGTGATAAAACTAAGGCCTTCCTGCATAACCAGTGCTGAGCAAAATGTCTTAAAGGGAAGTGCAGAGTTTAAATCCACAGGAGGGGATTACCTTGCCTGCATTTCCATAGCTATGGAATAAATATTTTAACATGTTAATTATCTGCAAATACCTTTGAACTTCCAGTCAATTTGATAGGCACAGAATTATATCCACTGGGAATGGGAAGCAATTAGTATCTGTAAAGATTGTGGGTCATGCTGTATCTTCCTCTAAGTGCTTGCATGGTCAGTAGCCATCCATATTCTAGGGGATGTTTGTGTCAATTTCATCTTGGTCTGCAGGTGAGAGCTGCCTCAGCAGAGCCCCCAGGGCTCTAAGGAGGCAGCAGGCATTCCTCAGGCTGTTACCCGACTACAGCCTTGGTTTCTGATTCATTCATTGCTTCTCACCAGGCAGAAAAATTCCCCCTAAGTAGGACAGTTTGGCTCTTTTCATGAACTGTCTATGTAACATTTTTAATCTTTTTTTTTTTCCTATTGCAGACTGAAAACTATTCCTTTGATTCCAACTACGTGAACAGCCGAGCCCATTTAATTAAAAGGTATGTTGGTTTGCTTGCCTGTTTCTACAACCAAGCTTCATTTAATATAAGAAGCAGACCAGATTAAACCTTTTAAATGATGCCTGTGTTTTTTTTTTAAGATTTTTAAAAATTTATTTGAGAGAGAGAGAGAGAGACAGAGAGCGACTCTCAAGCAGACTTCCTGCTGAGCAGGGTGGCTGACTTTGAGGCTGGATCTTATGACCCCAAGACCATGAGTGGAGCCAAAATTAAGGAGTCGGGTGCTTAACTGGCTGAGCTACCCAGGTGCCCCATGATGCCTTTGTTTTGGGATTTTACAACGAATGCCTATCTGCTTATTGTAAGAGATTTGAAAAATTCAGAAAAAACATTTTAAAAAATCACTGATAATTCCACTATGCCAAAATAATCACTGTTGGCATTTTACCATATTCCTTTACATCAAAAGGTATGCATAAACACAAATTTAAAAAAACTGGGGTCGTATTAAAATACGGTTTTATATGATGATTTTGAAATCTAATATTAGAAAACAGATACTTTCAAAATCATGTTGCTATGAAAATTCTTGTTGCTCCGCACTTAAATCAAGAGAGGCCTTAAAGCAGTTTCTCATGTGGAACTTTCAATGAATTTCAAGATTGCGGTTATTCCATCAATACTGGAATCATCTTAAAGCTATGTTAATGGCAGATTAACTAATTTCTTATCTTTTAAGAATTTTGTAGATGAGGGAGGAAAAGAATCTTTGCATGAATTCCATATTTCTTAAAATATTTGGAAGTGTTTCAAATACAGCATTCAAAATTAGGATATGTGTGATTGGTTGGTCATAACTCAGTTATCCACGGAGTTGCAGAGTACAGAGCTGAAGACTGCCAAGGAAGTTTCCATGTGGTGGGGCACCAAGGTTCAGGGAGCCCACTAAGGAGGGAGAACGAAACAAAATGGAGAATTGATTGTGCTGAAAAACCAGGACTGACTATTCAGTTGATGCCTTTATTATTGCTTCATGCAGATATCCTCTTGAATGGTCCAGGGGTTATTTGCAGCTAAAATTAAACTCTGAGCGTGTTTGTTAAAATAATATAAATAAAATAGAGAGGGAAGCAGGGTACGTTAGAGCTACAGTAGAGAAGATGTGAAAATGCTATTATTTTGCCGGCTCTGATCCCATAAATTTATATCGCCAGATGAATAGGATTTGAAGAATGAACTGGCTTGTTGAACAAGCCACTTTAATTAATATTTAATTTAATTCATGATGTGCAGTAACCCCTGAAAACATGCTAGGTTTATCTATATTGGTCTGGAATTGCTTGTGACCTTAAGTGATGATCGTTAATTATGGTTAATTAAAATGAATAGCCCAGCATTACCTGTCATAGCACAGTTTGAAATTTTTTCTGAGGATTTGGGAGGACTCCATTTTGAATATTTCCTTAGCTCACAGAATAAACTCAAAGGTAAGGAATTCAAAATTGTCTGACTGATTTGTTTTCATAGGAAAACAGCCCCTCTTTATGTGCACTGATTAGAGTAACTTCGCAGCAGGAATCTGCTTTATTTTCTGCTTTAAGACTGTTATTCCAAACCTTTTGGGAAGAATTCTGGTAAAAACAGTGACTTGATTTATCCTTTTTTAAAAAAAATATTTTATTTATTTATTTGAGAGAGAGAAAGAGAGAGAGAGAGAGCACGAGAGGGTGTAGGATCAGAGGGAGAAACAGGCTCCCTGCTGAGCAGGGAGTCTGATTGTGACTTGATCCTGGGACTCCAGGATCATGACCTGAACTGAAGGCAGTCATTTAACCAACTGAGCCACCCAGGCAGCCTGACTTGACTTATCTTCACAGGTCCCTTGGGCTAGCTCCGGGTACTTGGGGATCCTATGACCAGGTTAAACTGATAACATGAGCCTTATTTTCATAGCATGGCAGAAATCCTTCTCCTGGGGACCCTTCCTATCTTTGGTCAGCCCCGAATATACAATGCACAGACAGACTGATGAGATGAAAACTTAATGTTCAAACATTTAATTTTGGGGATATGTGTATTTCCACAGCAGCTTTGGGACTCAGGAGAAACCTCTTTGATTAATTACCTTATATGTTTTTGTTTACCACAAAATGCACAATCTGGACTTAATAGGCTTTTAGTGAAAAAGTCTCCTGATGTTGCCTGAAACCAAAAATAGTGACTTTTTACCAGGGGCCACTTTGATTAAGAGGAAACATCTGAAAGCTCAGGAACACATGCATTTCTGCCAGGTTCTGTTTTTGGAACTTTGAGGGCTTTGAAAAACCACAAAGGCCTTGGAATTTACGGGATCCATTGAGTTTAGACAAAGCACAATACCTGGAAAGATACAGGAAGTTTGGTGTGCTATGCTTTTCTGGGGACTAAGGTTTTTAAAATGTAAAATGTGTGGAAAATGTTAAGAGAGAGTGGTAACACCAGGTGATAAAAACCCTGCAAACTGTGTTCAAATAGCTCCCAGTAAGGTTTGAAAGGGGTTTCACTGTATGTGGTTTCTTGAGGATCCATTTACACACATGGAAAAATCTCCCAGCCAGGAAATTCTGAATCTTGTTATCAGTTTTAATTTTACTATCAAGTCCTGTCACTTTTTTAAAAAGATCTTATTTATTTATCTGAGGGAGAGAGAGAGAGAGAGAGTAGGAGCATAAGGAGGGGGAATCGCAGAGGGAGAAGTAGATTCTCTGCTAAGCAGGGAGCAGGAAGGGAAGAAGTGGGGCTGGATCTCAGGACCCCAAGTTCATGACCTGAGCCAAAGGCAGATGCTTAACTGACTGAGTCACCAAGGCACCCCTCAAGTCCTGTTTCTTTGAATCCAATTTCAGGAGAGTTTTGAGAACTTCTTTTCCTATCCATTTTTTCTTTTCCTCTCTTCACTTCCAACTTATCCACAGATGCTTCTTGGACCCTTCTTTTTGGCATTCTCCAGCAGTCGTTACCTGTCTTGTCCAGACAGTTTACACCCAGGCTTCTTTTTCTCTCGCTCGGGTAAGCCAACAGAAAGACAGAGAGCAAGGGGGTTTCCCTAAGCACAAATCAAAGTTGAGAAGGATAAAGTGTGGATCTTGAAGGGAAAAGGAAGATAGATGGCACATCATCTTTGCACCACGGAATCTGGTGTTATATTTCCGTATTTTCGTTTGTTTGTTTTCAGAACATCACCTGCAATCTGCAGGTTTACCCAAGGTTTATGTCAGGATTCCAGATTAACAAACCGAGACGGTTCAGAATTTTTTTCTGGATGTGCTTCCTTCCTGCTCTGTTTGTTTCCTTGGTATCTTCTCAGAGCAAGGAAAGCTGGCAGTTGCACTTTGCTCCTGCTGCAACACTCTCTTTCCTCATGCTTGGTTTCTGTGCTGCTGTTTGATATCTACACCTGCAGTGCTTCTGGAGCAATGACAAGCAGGGCATGAGGCTGGAGCACAAAGAAAATAAAGCAGGAAATGAACAAGATAGCATAGCAGTGTGGTGAGGAAAATGAACCTCGACTCCTAAAGCATACAGATTGCTTTCCTTTTCCACCCAGATTGTTCTGGGGGTTTTGCCGCACCTGGTATCACGCCTTGTCTATAACAAGGGCTGGTACGTGTTTCTTGAATGAATGGATGAACGAAGTTGAAGAAAATCTCAGCATTTTTCCAACGAGCGTGAGCACTAAAGTTCCCTGTGAACAGCAATTTCTGGGGCTCCTGGGTGGCTCTGGCATTAAGCGTCTGCCTTTGGCTCAGGTCATGACCCCAGGTTCTGGGATCCAGCCCCACACTGGGCTCCCTGCTCAGGCGAGAGTTTGCTTCTCTCTCTCCCACTCCCCTTGCTTGTGTTCCCTCTCTCACTATCTCTCTCTCTCTGTCAAATAAATAAAATCTTTTAAAAAACCCCAGCAATTTCTGACCTTTGATGTGCATTAGAATCACTTGGGAAGCTTGTTAAATGCAGTCTTTAGCTCCATTCCTAGAGAATCTCCAGTTTTCATAGGTTCCCAAGGCGATTGTGATGCAGGGAGGAGATCCAGGAACCACTGAAGAATCATCCTTATATTCTCTAAATATAGTTACAATACTCTTTACTTTTACTTCCTTCTCATTATTACTCTTAGATGGCATTCCTTGGGTATGTGGTGTCATCTATTAGGAAGATATGACCTGTTTCCTTTCAGATTATTCTAGCTTTTGGAAAGATTTCCAATATTTTAAATGATAAATACGGGTCAGAATTTGAATAAGGTTTATTCATGAAGCATTTTGTGAGTAACTCTTATGTTCAGAGTCTTGCTCTGGGTGTTTTCAAACAAATCTATCCCTTTGTTGGCCACCAGCATGGTCATAGAAACATTTGCATTTACAATACCATTGCAAATGGGTACCCCTAATTTATTGTCCCACAAAAGTTGGTTTACAAGTTTTTCATCTCCCGAGAGGTACACAGGTAATAAAACAAGTGAAATCAGCATTTTTTTATGCCTAGGATAAATTGTTATTTGTTTTGGGTGAGTAGCCATTTACCAGGCTGTTTCACAATTTGCAACATCTTGCTCATTGGGTCTTAAACTTTACCCAAATCCATTCATTAAGTCACTAAATGTCCTTACAAGACTAGAGTAAGTGGTACTTAGTTCATCACATGGACAAACTGATCTTTAAGTGGGTTAACTATTCTAGGGTTTGCAGGAGGGGAGTTAGATCTCTTACTTTCTTTTCTTTTTTTTTTTTTTTCCAGAGAATACATAGCTATCACTTTGGGAGTCTTTTAAAAAAATTTTACTAAGTTTTTAATTTTAATTCCAGTATAATTAACATAGTGTTATATTAGTTTCAAGTGTACAATAAAGTGATTCAGCAATACTATACACTACTCAGTGCTCATCGTTAAGTGTACTCTTAATCCCCATCACCTATTTCACCCCCCCCCCACCTCCCTTCTGGTAACTGTCAGATTGTTCTCTGTAGCTAAGAGTCTTTTTCTTGGGTCACTTCTCTCTCCCTCTCTCTCTTTCTTTGTTTTGTTTTTTAAAATTCCACATGTGAGTGAAATTGTATGGTGTTCATCTTTCTCTGACTGACCTGTTTCGCTTAGCATTATACTCTCTAGCTCCATCCATGCTGTTGAAGGTGGCAAGATTTCATTCCTTTCGTGGCTGAATAATGTTCCCTCATATATATACCACCTCTTCATTTTTTTTTCATTTTATTTTATTTTATTTCTTTTTAGTGTTCCAAAATTCATTGTTTATGCACCACACTATACCACCTCTTTTTTATCCATTCAACTACTGATGGATTGTTAGGCTGCTTCCAGAATTTGGCTATAATAAATAATGCTGCAATAAACATAGGGGTACATATAGCCTTTCAAATTAGTGTTTTTGTATTTTGGGGGTAAATACCTAGGAATGGGATTACTGGATGGTAGGTTTGTTGTATTTTTAATTTTTTAAGGAAACTCCATGTTATTTTTCACAGTGGCTGCACCAGTTTGCATTCCTACCAGCAGTGCATGAGGGTTCCTTTTTCTCCATATCCTAAGCAACACTTGTTATTTCTTGTGTTTTTTATTTTAGCCAAGAATACCTGACTTTTTACACTCACACTACCAGTTCCAAGTAGCCAATCCTTCACTATTTTATTATGTCTCTCATTTCTACCTAAAAAACAAAATCTCTGAGATAGTTTGTAGTATTTGGATGCATATAAAATGGGTGATCAAATTTTAAAAATGCAGATCTAAACCAATTGGGTGAACATAAATAGTGATCCTTGACATTCAAATCACAGCAATTAATATTATATTTATTGTGAGACTTTTGAGAAGCCAAGACAAAATGGTAAGTACACCAGAGTACATAGTTCTCATTTTTCAATAACGGAAGGATACACATTTGACAAAATTTCTTTTCCTGTTCCTGAAATCAAGGAGCAATTAACCTAGTGAACAGTGTCTGACTATAGTTTATGGAAGATAGAGAAACATTATTTAAATACAGATTTCCTGTATGAATCCTAGAAAAACACCACAGACATAATATTTAATTATAACTCAATGAAGACATTACCATATGGTGTAATGATCATATTAAACAATAACCATTTTTTGAGCTTTTGTATTTACCCAGTACTTCATGTGGGGTATCTCACTGAGTCCTCAAAATGGCCTTGCAAAGAAGGTTTTAGCAAATGCATTTTACAGACAAGGAACCTGAGGCTCAAAGACATTAGCTATCAGGCCCAAGGTCCAATCAACGAGGTGGCACAGTATGGATTGTCACTTGTCCTAATGACAGCACTCTTTCCACCATAGTCTGGAAATTCAGCATGCTGCAGGAATAGAGTTTTAAAGAACCTAAAGCAGTGGTTTACACCTGAGGATGATTTGGCAATATATGGAGACCCTTTTGGTCTGGGAGAAGCACTACTAGCATCTAATGGATAGAGGCCGGGGATGCTGCTGTACATTCTACAATGTGCAGGATGGTATCTGACAACAACAAATTATGCAGCCCAAAATGTCAATAGTGCCAAGGTTGAGAAACCTTGGTCTAAGGGATGGCAAATTGCATTGTCCTCATATTCCTCTTCAACATATGTCTCAAGCCTATTTTGGCAACTGCTGAAATGCGCTCAATTCAGGGTTGATGTCTCTGGCTTAGAGCAACAATTTTGCGTTGTAGATTGAAGAAATTTTCATGTGCTCCAGGTACCAGAAATGCAGGTCAAAAAATTAATTTTGTTTTCAAAGTATACAAACCAGGTAGGTCATTTCCTTTCTTCTGAAATGCAGGAGTCCATGTGGGCAGGACCAAATACTATTTTTTCTAAAAGACAAACTTTGAATCTGTTCAAGCTCTGGCGTTAGTATTTACAGGACACCACCACATCTGTGCCATAAAGCTAGAAATGGCTACACACTCTACATCGTTAAGCCTGCATTTCCAATTGGTCTTCTTGACCATAAAAGAATTTTTTTTAAGATTTTTATTTATTTATTTGACAGAGAGAGATCACAAGTAGACGGAGAGGCAGGCAGAGAGAGAGAGAGAGGGAAGCAGGCTCCCCGCTGAGCAGAGAGCCCGACGCAGGACTCGATCCCAGGACCCTGAGATCATGACCTGAGCCGAAGGCAGCGGTTTCACCCACTGAGCCACCCAGGCGCCCCCGACCATAAAAGAATTTTAAGATGATTGGTTTTTTTAATAGAACTACATGCTGGTGGGTCCACAGGGCTGAGGAGCTGCATGACATAATTTGGAGAAGCTGAGTGAGTTGGCTTATTGAATGATTTTAGTTTTAATACAGGTGATGCTCAGTGATCCTTTCTGAAAATAATTAGCAAACAGGTCAATGCTTTACTTGCTTCTGCTCTTCATTTTCTTATAATTATGGCTTTCCAGTTAGTGCCCTTTTGATCCTTTCTTTTTCATATTCAGAGCAGCAAGCATTCTACATCTAGGTTGGTCATATGTTAAAAATCTGCAGTGATTCCTTTTGACCAATGTGGTGAGTGACAGTGTATCTACTGTGTCCATGGCATAGTTCTTCATCATGTGTACTGAATGTTCTTACCGAAGCCTCAATGAGTGAGGCCTGTGGATGTACAAGGTTGAGCACATCAAAAGAGTTTGCACTATTCTCTTCACAGGCTCCCTTTTCACAGGTATAGTAGGTCCGTTGGGACTTGTCCTAATTCACAAGCATGACACTCTCCGTTGTTGAGACAACACATTTTCTTGAGTCTGTCTTTGCTGCTTCCTCACTGATTGGGGAATGGATTCATCATTCACTAGGTATTTCAGATTCATAATTTATGGATTATGTTGCACATCTGTTGCATACTGTTGCACATCTACGGATTCTGTCAGGACATACAAAGTATTAGAAATTGCAGGTAGGGCCTCTATGGATGTACCTTAGGTATTATCCTCTATTTTTTTTTAAGGTTCTTGGATTGTATGTTTAGGGCATTGTATGGTGGATTGATTTAATAAATACAAGAAAAATTGGCCCATAAACTCCTCAGCTGCAAGTTTTCATATTCTTAGCATAACTACACCCACAGTTTTATTAGAACTCACTCTCTGGTTCTCACTTTTGTCTTACTGTGCGTGCATCGAGGCTTCTCTTCTCAGCTCTTTCCTCTTCCTGTTTTCTTTGAAACTGTCTCTCTGACTTTCTCAGTTAAAATTGATCTGAGTTCTCTGATCCTGATACTGCTTTCTATTTTAATTGCATTACCTCAATTTCTGCCACTTCAATTGCAGGGGATTAGTAGACATCTTTGGAAAAGCAGTATACATAGTGGTTAAGGGTCCAGGCTCTGGAGCTAGGCTGCTTGGGTTTGGTCTTAGATCTGTTGCATTTTTATCAGCTGTATGAACTTGGGCGAGTTACATAACTTCCGTGTGCTTCTGTTTTTCTCATCTGTAAATGGAAATATTTGTGGTACCTTTCTCTTACATAGTTGTGGTGATTAAAAAAAGTTAATTCATGTCAAGCACTTAGAATAGTGCCTTATGTATAGTAATTGCTCAGTAAACATTAGCTATTACTTTAATTATATAAGAAGAGGGAAAACCTTTTGAAATGGTGATATTCTTTGCAGGTGGTTGTTTCAGATTTTACCTTCTTCCACCATGCCTGTAGTAATGTTGAAGATAATGGAATGAAAGTATTAGCTACATCAACATCCAATAGTGGGAACCTCTCTGCAGCATTAAGTTCCATTATCTTTATTTTTTTTTAGATTTATTTATTTATTTATTTACTTGAGAGAGAGGCAGAGGGAGAGGGAGAGAGAGAATTCCAAGCAAATTCCCCACTGAGCACGGAGCCTGATGTGATGCAGGGCTCGATTTCACAACCCGTAAGATCATGACCTGAGCCAAAATCACAAGTTGGACAGTCAATCAACTGAACCACCCAGATGTCCCAAGTTCCATTATCTCTAAACAGAAATTCCTCTTCTTTCTACTCTTTTGGGCAATCTAGTCATGTTGGCCTCACCAGAGAGCTGACATCATCCTGGCTCTGAAAGATTTTAAAAATTAGATCACAGTTGTTAATTCTCATTCTTTCTTCAACCCAGCAGCTCTACCTTCAAGGACTTAGAGGGCAACAGCCTGAAGGACAGTGGTCATGAAGAGAGCGACCAGACTGACAGTGAGCATGATGTCCAGCGGAGCCTGTATTGTGATACTGCTGTCAACGACATGCTGAACACCAGCGTGACCTCCATGGGATCTCAGATGCCTGACCATGGTAAGGGCTGGTTGGATGTAAGTCACAGCCATAGATCACAGAGAACCCAGAATGTTTGTAAGTATACTGTACTACTTTACTGTAATGAGTGTGTTGTCAAGGTGGGCACTGTGCTCATGCCTGAAGAGCATCTACAGAGTTGTGAGATGTCCTGACATCAGACCAGATTCTTCTTTATCCTCCCTGAGTGGATCCCCTAGGTTTGTATAATGTTCAGGCATTTTAAAAGCTGACTACATATACATATTGCATACATTCTCTTCAATAATAACTGCACTGAGCACATAGAAAATGAGCAGATGCCTTCTCACCAGGAGTAAATGCCTCTTTCTGCTTTAGTACATGAAATTTAACTGATCAGTCGAGTTGCACAGAACATAGCACTAATGAGACCAAAGGGGTGGGCTTTATTTCCGTATTAAGCTAGTTAACTTTACTCAGAGAGAGACTCTGTTCTCCGACCACAAATTGTATGCCCTTTACTGAAGAAAGTACCAAACTTCCAATTTTGTCTGTGGGGCTGCTATGCCAAATCCCTCTAGCTTCCATACACATGCCTGCCATTGATCATAGGAGAGACCGGTGTAAGAAAACATGGCTGACTTCAAGCAACATTCTGGGCATATGAAAAACACCTCAGAACAAAGCTCAGGACTGGCTTTCTCATATATGAAGACAAGTCTGTTTTTGTGAATGCAGCCACACATGCTTTAGCAAGAGGAGCTATTTAAAACCATGCTGGGCATAAACCAGGGTATAAAAACGTTAGCAGAGTTCTTCTAAGGCAGAGTGTTCAGATGGACTTGTGCACAAATGTCATTTTCAATGTTTTACTGATGCAAACATGCTGGGAAAACAGCCTGTCTTTTTCAATTAAGAACTATGAATTCAGCTTGGTGTTTAGGCTCAGTGAAGCTTCAGAATGCGTGGCTATGTCTTGAGAGAAGCTAGACGCAAGCTCAGCTGGAAGCCCCACTGCTAAAAGACTTAAAGAGGAGAAAACAAAATACGGTGATTATGTGCTGGTCTTCAGCTGTTTCATTTCACTGTAAACATCATTAAATGCTTTTGTTTTGGTCTTATAAATGAATCCAAAGGGGGAAAAATTGCACAATTCAAAAAAGGAAATGTTTTTCATGGAAAAAAAAGTTTGTCGCTGTAGATTCTGTTAAACGGCCTAAAATCCATCCCCTCCCCAGACAGCTCAAGTGTCAAAGTCTATAATATATAGAGGTCATTACTAATTATGCATTGCTTTCTTCCCTAATTGGCAAGTGGTGACATCCATGGAGATAATATACTTCCTGGGCAACCTTACTAAGACTAAAGATGAGAAAACTGAACATTTATATAACTGAAACAGAGACTGTTTAATTCTCAGAGGATTAGTAGTGGGTCACAGGGTACAGACCGGTATGTATCACTTACTAGCCTTGTATCTCAAAAAAGTGCTCTTTCATTTATATCAGAAAGGGTTTTAGTTAGATGCTTTTTAAAATGAAGTGAATCCAGGAAAGGAAATGGTCATAATTGATTCTCACTTTATGCCTGGCTAGAATAACTCTGTTTTAATTTTTGTCGCATTTTTCTAGAAAACAGTATCAGTGGACTATGCTTAATTTTTCTGAGGGAGTGTTTCTTACAAAATTAACAGATGCATAAAATTATCTCTATTTTGAAAATCCTGATATTCCCTATCAATCATGGGTCTCTATACATGCAAAGAAAAATGCTGTGCTAATATCCAAGTTAGAAAACACAGAAATCTACAGACATGAAATCCAAGGTAAGCCAACACAAGGGCACTTGGGTTTGAGATGCCCATCACAGCATCAATGAACCAAAGACTCCAGGGACTATTTTTCCCCCCTCAAAGAATCTTTGAGACTTTCAGTGCAGGTCTGAGTCCAGAGAAGATTCCATTTTCCCTCGTGATCTTTCCAAATTGGTAGTCCCCAGAAGAAACAGTACCATATTGCCCTGGAATTAATATACCTAGAACTATTCTTGTTAGAATGGTTATGAGATCAGGTCTATGTGGTTAATTGGCTCAGTGATTGTCTTTCAACTACTCTGCCTCAGGATAAAATGAGAAGTACTATGTGAATCCTAGTTTGAGATAGTAAAATGCTATAAAATGTTAATTGTTGAAATTGTTGCTGTTGTTTGAGGTAGCAATAACTGAGGTGACACAATTTATGTGCCCAGCCTAGAGCCAATTTGGGATATAACAGTTAAATACTATTACGGAAACCTCACAAGTACTGGGAACTCATAAGGTAGAGCCTGAGATGTAAGCATGACAAAGGTTAATGACTCAACCAAGCGAAAGTGAAAGAAAGCAAACTCAAGGGTTGGCTTAAGATTTAGCCACTGCTGGAATGATGGAAAAAAATTAAGATATATACATGCAAACTGAATACTGAGAAAAAAATATGAAATTGTTGCCAAAATGGAACAGCAAAAAGTGTGTGTACATGCATGTGTGTAATCATCACCTTCTATATAGGAGAGTCTTAGAATAATGCCACACGTTTGCTTTAGAAAACTCTCATTATTATACAATCTACAATCTACAATCTATATACATATATACATATACATTATTACAAATGAACTGGCTGAGCTGAATTTCCTTGTTGCCAGGTGATTGAATTACACATTCATTTATCATTTGAGTGCCCTTGAATTAATATGTTTCAGCTTGTCCCCAGTAATTCAGCTCTTATTGTCATGGCTTCCCAGAAAAGAAGGTGATGAAGAATTCTTTATCCTGCACTTTCTACTTACATATAGCACTTTTTGGAATGTTATCTCTCTGTAGCTCTCAGAGTGCCTTGAGAACAAGGAAGTGTTGTCATTCAGCATATTTTATCACCTGATTTGTTCTTGAGGTGATTTGGTGCTGAGCTTAAATCCTTTAACCAATGCCTTCTCTTCCTGAATTTGCCTTATTTGGTAAAATTACCAACTTCTGGCAAGGCCAAGAATTTTGCCTTATGCAACTGCAACAGACAGTCTCCAAGAAGAGTAACTGACCATTAGAGAGGTAGAGGTGCCAGAGATTCATGGGTTTGTTGCACAGTTAGGGATATCACTGAGTTTGAATCTCTTCCTCTCAGTTATTTCTGGGTTGAGTAGTGCTGGGGTTAATAGCTTCCTTCTCTTCCATGCTTCTTTGCATGACCATTTGTGATGACTTGGATATACCATTATGTTTACTTAAATATGTAGTCCTTTTGGGAATCATATCCTAGAACTATACATACTAGTCCTGAGCTCAACTAATTTGTTTCAAATCATACACGTTGTCTCTTTATGATTTTAATTATTGATTATAAATCCATCAACTGAAAAGATGACTCTAATTGCACTAATGTGGATCTAGTTTGGAGTTCACGACAACACTGATTTGGTTTGTCTCCCATGCTAATTGATACCACATGGAAACAACATACAGAAACTCAAAATAACAGCTATTTGCTTTCGCATCCAAATGCATCCAAACACAATGTAATGATTGCTTTATTTCTGGAAATATAAATCCTTTTGGATTTTACTAAACTTGTTTATTTGGTAGTTTATCACCTGAATATCATTTAACACGTTTGTTGTGTAAAACATGGATTGAAAGAACTTGATCTGTGCCTAATACAACTGCTATTACAAGTTAACCATGAAAATGTTCTGTAGGTTTCACACTATGCATATTCTAGTTTCAATCACAGGTATATTAAGATGTTTACACTTCCAGCAGTCTGTCAGCAATGTGTAATTTTATTTCCTCTAGACTTTTAATGAAATTATGATTTAGTGACTAAACATCCTTTGCTTATCCTCTTACCTATCTCCCTGACTCACCTCTCATCTCACTAAATTTCCAAACACTCATTTCAATTAGTCTCTTGGCAAAACAGGGTGTTCTCAATGGAGAATATTTTGTGACATTGCAAAGCAGTGTGCTGCTGGTCTCCAGAAATGGTAGCAGGGACCAGATGTTCATAGAGTAATCGAAAATTCCATTTTATCAGAATAGCATTTGCTGTCAAAAACTTTTATCTTTACTTCAACAAAGAGGTTGATTAGATCCCCCTGGACCTGAATTAGCATCTTTGAAGCTAGATATACTGTTTTGCAATTCATGTGGTTCGTTATCCCCTGGTTGCTCACATAGAATCTTTTAAAAATGTCTTCAGCCTCATGCATATATATACACAGTGAAATGTTTAATTACTTGAACAATGGAATGTATATGCGTATAGCAAATCTATATATGTGATGTTCAGCTGTTTTCATCTATCTCAGGTATACAGTATTCTAATGCCAGGTAGGAACAATCCATGAGTAGATATGTATCTTTCACCTGTTCATTCAAACAGTAATTTTGAGTGCTCACTGTGTGCCTGTCTCTGGGAATTGAATGTGTCAGTTACTGTTATTATTGACTGTGAAAGTTCTCATCTCTTTAGCTTTGCTTATATCTGGGGTTTACTGAATTGACCAAGGTCAGCTCAATGATGAAATGAATAACTCTTTATGATTTTAGAAATCATTATAAGAATAGAGCCTGGTACTATTAAAAACCTTATTAATGTTGTGTCAACAAGGCGAAAGAAATAATAAAAGAAGACTTATAATCAAGATCTTATTTTTAATAAGAATATCATGAAAGACTCTTCCTTGATGCCCTAATTTGAACAATGTCACAGAGGTAATCATTTTGCTTTTAAACCTATCAGCTCTGAGGCCGAACTTCTTGCTTACTTTTAGTTAATTTCATTATAACATGATAGGTTTAATCTCTGACATGTCCAGTTACCTTGTTGGTTTAGAGGCACTCAGTGGTACTCAATGCTCGGTCTTCCTTTTCCTCTGATGTTGGAACTTTTATCCAGTCTCAGTCTCAGCAGTGGCTGGGCAGGTGGGAATAGAGGGACAGGTGGATGCTTTTGTTTATTTCAACTACATTGCTGCACCAGATAATTGGACTCCTTTCAAAG